GGGTTTGTTTGTCTGCTTAAAGCTGCTAATTAATGTGAAAGCAGCGTCCTGAGGGCTTTAGTTTTAACTCCCTGCCCCAGTGGAGACTAACAACCACAAAGGAATACACACACAGACATGAATCTAATAATAGGTGTATCTACTGAAGTCACACTCCTGTCTTCTATAAACTGTGGTTACACTTCACAAAATAGTTTTCTGAAAGGCGATATGTTTTGCAGTAAGGTTAGTAGTTTGTGTTTATTTACATCGTGACTCACAGTGACTCCCACAGAGTCTCAGAGTAAACGGATGTAATCACCATAAAGTCATCCTGTGGTGATCCAGTCGCAGCTGTTAGCAAAGCTAAATCCAACCAATCACTTTGCAAACCTCAAGAGCTGTAATGAACAGGAAAACTATCAATGGAGGCTAAAATGATCAGCTTTATTCCGCTGTAGGCCACTGTAGGACAAACAACTCTGGCTCCTGTCCATTTATGAATGTCAGTCCGTTGCTGTTTACCTCAGCTGTCAATGCTGGCTGAGAAGTGTCCACGTTTCTTTATCCTGGAGGAGGCCCTAGAACGAGTCAGTGAGTCAGTGAAGCTCACTCGTCTTTGCTGACAGCGATAGTGACGTTTTTGAGGATACAAGTGTCTTGGTTCGGGTTAGCAAAAACACATTCCAGTACATTTTTTCCCTAGTTTAGCCCCACCTCCAAAAGTTTTGTTATCATTTTACATGCACGTCCTCCCAATCAGTGCAAAATCTATAATGTCATATTTTGAGTGAATGTTTTGTTCAATTCTTTGATGAACTTGTGGAGTGTAAATGTAGATCTTAGCTTACTGCTATGAGCTACAAAGCTTTGAAATATTTCACTTTACATTCAATGAAATTTTATTTTCTTTTAAATTAATTTAAGACAAAAAACTATTCTACATTTTTGCATTTGCACTTTGAATTTATTTTCATCTTCAGTGTGAGTCTTTTGAATTGCCTTGCAGCAGGTCACCTTGAGCATTGTTAGTCAGAGTTTGTTTTGCTTTCCACCTCAGATAGTAAAACAAAAATGTTCTTTTCCACTGGAACTGCAAAATTTATGCTCAGACAGGTGGATTTGCATAAAAATCTTGTTACGTCCAACTATAATGATGCATAATTCCTCCTCCCTGTCAGCTCGCCTCCTTCTGTGTTCCCTCTCCCCTCCTTCTGCTCCCTGTCCAGCTTTTTTGCTCCCCTCTCCCTCTGGCTCTTTACGTACCCGCCTCTGTTTGCTAGTTCCATCTCGTCATTACATTGTGCAAATAACAGATCTACTAGGACCATGTTTTCAAGGAATAAAATTAACTGCTCTTGAACCACATGACTACGATTCAACCACTCTGAATCTCTGTCCTCATCTTGGAACCATCTTCAACTTCAATACGAGTCTACTGGGAGTTATTTTCAAAGTGCAGATGAGTCACCTCGATTAGATTAGAAGCTCAGAGATGCATTGATTGGCAGTGCAAGAGTGCCTCCTACAATCTCATCTTTCTCTCACTTTAATCTCTCACCTTTCTCTGTCTGCTGCTCTCTCACCCGTGCTGTCTCACTGTGTCACTCTATTTGTCCATCTGCTGCCTGTGCTGCTGCCTTCTCATCCCTCCTCCGCCTTTTTCTCAGTCTCCCAGATTACTCCTTTCCTCTGTGTGATGTAAAATGACTTTCACATCCCTAAATTGAGCTCTTGCCCTTGAGGAACACAGGGGAGGACATAATTATGCTTCTATTTGGTTGCAAATGATTCTGTTAATTTAATACAGAATTTCCCCCCAGTACAATCAGCAACAGAGGTGATTTGATGGATAACAAGCATTTGCTGTAGAAAGTGCCTCTGTGGATATACACTGTATTTCTCAGCAGTTTGACCAGAATGAAGCAGATTCTTAGCTTTAACATTGTAGATATTTGCAGATCAGCTTTAACCAATGGTACATGGTCCTGGCTCTCTCACCCAGTGTGTCCAGCTTTTTGTGAACTCACGATTTATTCATTTGCATTTAGGAGATAATTTACGTTCAAGTTCTTTATTTTGTCTTACAAGTGTAATATTTCCTAGTGCCTCTGAGTTCATCTTTTTTTCTAGTCTAGTAGTATGTTAGTTTCTTTTCATGGCCTGTCTGTCCTAGTCTCGTTTCTGTGTTTTGTCCTCAGCGTCTCCTGTATAAAGTCTGTCTCTGTGCTTGTCTTTGTATCGAGTCTGCCCACCTGTTTCTTTGTTCAGTTACTACTTGTTTTATTTTGATAGTCTCTCATTTCGTGTGCATTATGTCTAGTTTTGCTTCCCTTGTCTTGTTCATTAGATTTAGCTCAGCTGTGTTTTTTCTCCAGGTGATTCCACTCTGGTGTAATCTGTGAGTTTGCATCTTTGTTGTGTTCTCATGGTCCGTGTCTCTCCTCGTGTGTTCTCCAGTTTTAGTTTTGTTTGTTCCTGACCTACATTATGTTTATTTTTGTGTCCAGCAATAAAGCTGTGCTTTCATTTTACAATACGTCCTCTGAGTTCTGCCCATCATACAGAACTTCCTAACAGGGAAAATTCAGGAAGGTCACATTACTGGTGGAGCTAATGTAACTCCAGTGATTGCTACTAGAGATGGGACTTCTGGTTCAGAACCAGGCCAAAACTGTCCAATCACTAGCACCGTTTACCTCAAATACTATTAAGTTTATTTTACCAGCGCTTGTGTGAATCATGAGCAAGCCTTTTATTCTGTTTCTACACTGTGTTCACTCTGAGATAAGAAACCAGTTCCTTTGATGCTGAAAAGCTGTGTAAATCTACAGTTTTGAAAACTGATCAGACATCAATAAGCAATCAATAAGGAACCACACCCAATCAATGATAGTACTGTATCAATAAAAAACATCAATATCAGTCAATTCCCAGTGAGGACTTGCTGTATATCTGCTTGCTTTATTTTTTATACATTTATCCTTTATCAGCCTGTGTGACAAAGATAGCTCACACATTAGTTGCATTACACTCTGCAGAGCTCATTTTCACCCCAGAAAGCTCAAAACTACAATCTGTCACTCTCACTAGTTCCCCTCTGAACAATTGTCACAAAGGCCAGATGGCTTTTATTTGTTTCTTGGTGATCTGATAGAAATGTTGCCTTCTTGGATGTCTAACAAGTTCCAGAGCTCTCTTTATCAAGTAAATACCTCTGTGAGGTTCTCCGAGGTCTTGTTTTCATTTCAGTTTCTATCCAAATACAGACATGCTGTGGGCATCAGAGCAGCAGTGCCTTGGCCAGAACAGGGTGACTCCTCTGACTGCAAAATATAATGTTATCACATAGACATTTGTAAGAGAACAGGGCATGCTTTAGTTCATGTGACTGGTATCTCAGTCAGCTGCTGAATGTAACTGACTCGGTGCTGTAGTGGGGGGATTTTACAAACCAGCGGTTTGTAACAGTGACTTCACCTTATGCACTCCACTTAATCACTCTCAACGCTTTTGCTTCTGCAGAAAACACGACTCTTCTTCTTTTGTCCAGTTTTTCAAAGTCCAATATTAGCTGCATGCTATTCTCACAGAGGCAAAATCTTTAACAGGGGCGATCGTGGCTCAAGAGTTGGGAGTTCGCCCTGTAATCGGAAGGTTGCCGGTTTGAGCCCCGGCTTGGACAGTCTCGGTCGTTGTGTCCTTGGGCAAGACACTTCACCCGTTGCCTACTGGTGGTGGTCAGAGGGCCCGGTGGCGCTAGTGTCCGGCAGCCTCGCCTCTGTCAGTGCGCCCCAGGGTGGCTGTAGCTACAATGTAGCTGCCATCACCAGTATGGGTGGATGACTGGATGTGTAAAGCGCTTCGGGGTCCTTAGGGACTAAGTAAAGCGCTTTACAAATACAGACCATTTACCATTTTAACAATGAAAAGTCAAAGCAGTAAGAAAAATTTGCACCAAGCAGAAACCAAAGGAAACGAGCTTTAAAGAGCACCAACAAACCATTAGAAAGGGGGAAGTCTGTCCAATATAGTCTGTAAGCTTTTATCATTTATATTTTCATTTCTGCATATTGCCTCAAGCAGAGGACAACAGAGCTCAGAAACTATTAATAGTCATTATGAATGCTTCCACCATGTCTCGCTCGCTGGTCCTCAACACCCCCAAGAGTTCAAAGCCTGGTCTGGAAGTGATGTCTGATCAGATGCTGCTTCATCTAAGTCCTGCTTATAATCAGTGATCAGTGCCAAGGGAAGACTAGAGCCAGAGAGCCAGAGAGAGAGAATATATTGGTGCTGGCTCTGGCCCCAGTTCTTGTATAACTCACTGATAATTAGGTTTTTACTGCTGCCAAGTCATAACCATTGCTACAGCTAGGAGGTATGCAGGTGTTGACAGGACATCAAAGTGGACTATTAGCAAATAGAATAGAAGATTGTCAGACTGTTAGACTGTTCTTATTAGAACTGTGTTTTCCTCAAAATAAATACTGCAACACAGAAGAATCACAATTAAGAACTTCCAAGCTATCAGGTTTCTTTTCTCTGTGCAAACATTTTATGTATAAAACACACACATCTAATTGTGGGGACATCCAATTGTCATAATGCTTTCTCTAGCCCCTTAACCTAACCCTAACCATGAAAAACGAATGCCTAACCCTTACCGTAAACCTAACCATGACCCAATTATAACCCTTTCACTAAAACCACATTTTGAGTCACACATATGTCTTTAAACTTGTGAGGACCAGCATTTTTGTCCCTATAAGGGCTGTTGGTCCCCACAAGTATCTAAATAAACTTCCAATTTTTGGAAGATATGAATACACACACACACACACACACACACACACACACACACACACACATTTTTGCTCTTATTCACGTTCCCATTTTTCCCCGGACTCTATGTGATCCTCACATCTGCATCTTTCTTCCAGTCCGCTGCTTCTTCTCCTTCTCTTGTAAGCACGTACCCCCTTTCTTTTAGTTGCTCCTCCTTCTCATTTATATCCTCCTTCTTCTACTCCATTTCTACCATACTCTGCTTTGCTTTCCCTCTTTGTTTCCCCATTCTTGTTAGCACTGGTCATGCATGCTTGACTCCCTGATTAACTAACAACCCAGAGGATGTTACACAGAATTGTGTCTGCTCACCTCAAGAGAGGCATCGATTTGCTGGCAGGCGGTAACCACACAGACGGCTGGCACATCCAAATGAGCCTGAGAGCAGAAACTGGAGAAATGAATACATGCTGGGAGAGGAAAGAGGCTGCTATTTAAAAATTAGCAGCTTTATTTAGGGGAGAATTCTGTTTTTTTTCCATCTGAGTGCATGTTTAATTAAAGGGGGGCATGAAGTGAAAGACAAATATGATGAATGAGGAATAATATCAGCAATAACAAATGAGTTAATAGATGACGAATCTGTTCTTTGAAGCACTGAATACATTTTAAATACAGCAGAAAAATCTCAGGCTCATTGTATGTATGCATGTGTGAAAACTGCTTCCTCAGTGAACGTGCTTTACAGTTTGTATTTGAAGACAGAAGGTCAGATTTTATGCAGAGAGAAGTTCCTCAAAGAGATGCAGATGTAAGCAGATTTTTTTCTCTTATTCAGTGGATAATTATACTGTGTGAACCATTTTGGCTATTTTAAAGATTGCATCATATATTACAAAAAAGTCTTTTCTTGCTTCTGAATATGCTGCAGTTTCAATAATATCTGTTTGAATTTCTGGCACCAAGCACAGAATCAATCACCACAGCTAATTTTCTAATAATGTAGAATTGCATATGATGATGCGCGATATTAAAGCATCTCCAGGATATTGAGAAAATCTTACACATGTTTTCTTTTCCCCACACTGAAGTAAAAATGTAGAATATAGGCTCTCAACTGTACTGTTCAGACCAAAAACTAATGGTGATGGTGACCGGTTAAGTTATTGGAATCATGATGATGTCACATCCACATCCTGTCTGGGTCTTATCAGTGATAAAACACTATCCTCACATACCTACGGTGATTTTACCTTCTTGTGTGGGTACGTCTTTACCTTTGTTATAGCTTCCTCTGGTGATGGGCAGTACTTCTCAGACCGCATGTTTGTCAGATATTTCCCAAGATGTCCTGGACAGATGTTATTTGTATTTAAAACTGTGTAATAAAATGAAAATGGATGATTGCACCTCATAAAGTTTGTATTTGAAGCATCGGACATGGTGGCCTTTACACCTAGGAACAGATTATCTAAAAGTCTCTCCAGCCAAGCCACCATCACCTTGTAGGTAAACAGAGAGCCCAGAGGAATATATCATAAATATATCTGTTAGTCTCTGTTAGTACATGACTGTTTTATATATATATATATATATATATATATATATATATAACAGGGAACATGACAAGAAAAACATGACAAGAAAACCAGAAGGAAGGAAAAGAAAAGGAGATACCAGCCAAGGGAAAGACTTGGCGAAGAGAAGATGAAAGCTTTGAGTTCAAACCAACGGCCATCTTGCCCTCAAATCTCCTGTTGCCATGGTGATTAAACTGACCATGTGCTGTCCCCTGAGAGTCTCCCTCTCTCTCACACACACATGCACTACCACACACACACACACACTCACACACTCACACAGAAAGAGGGGACAGCACACCAGGACAGGTAGATGAACAGCACAGGTGTGGTAGATAAAGGATGACAAAACCTTTAATCCTATTCGAGGGATACTTCATGTTGCGTTAGCCGATCATTAATGTTGTTAATAGACAGTTAATCATGCCAAGTTTACACGTATCAAACTTGGATGGCCTGGAGCATCATTAGATGGACACACATGAGCTGTGTGTTTTTCTATTAGTTTTTAATGCTTGTTGTTCTGCTTTGGATGATACTGAGTAGGATTATAGACTATAAAGGACAGTGCTGTAAAAATCTGGATCAGATGAAGGTTCAACCTGCCAAGAACTCCTTTAATTTGCTCACATGTCATAAGTGGTATCATAAATAAAAATGTAATTGTTCTTTTTTGCACTTGCATTTTCTGCTTAATCATTTGCCAAAAAGACAGAATACAATAAACAAAGATTTAGATTTCAACTCTTTATTGATTGAACTCCAGCTCAGGTTAACCCAGTGGTTTTAATTTCTTGTTTCTAGATATAGTGATATAGTGTATGCATGTGAGAGGTGCTGGTGATTTCAATAGAAAGGAAGAACATTTATGAATATCAGTGTTGATTTTTTAAGAAATAACTCATCTAATCACAGTCGCTTTTCATTTTGTTATGCTGATTTAATAAACACATTGTTTCCCACTTAGCATCACAAACCTACTGATCGTGCATGTGACATGTGCTGAATCACATGTGCATATATGTTAGTGTGACTAAAAAGGAATAAAGACTTGTATGATGTAAACAGTCCGTCTCTCTCTCCACAGCTGTATCGTTTATGAGACACAGCGCGTCAGCATTTGGATTCGCCGTAAGTTCCCGCCCCTTTCTTCTCTCTATTTGCATTGATCAATTAGTCATAACTTGGGTGCTAGTGATTTATTAATGAATCCCAGTACCAAAGTCCTATTGGTCCTTTTGTCTCCAAGGTAACAGGGCAGAGAAGGGACTGGAGGCTGGCGCTGTGGTTGGATGTCAAAATGCTTCTTGTGTTTGCTAAACAGATCTCCACTAGAACACAGCGGAAATCTTATTAGGAGGAAATCACTGAGAATTATCATAAAAATATGACGTAATGGCAATGAAGGTGAAAATTACAATATCCACACCTGGGCCCAGGGAGGGAGATGTGATTAGCCTAATGTGATTAAAATATTATAACCCATAATCTGCAGAGCTAGCTATCTCTTCCTTAAAGATTGGATTTTAATTAGCAGTTTAATTGCTTGGCTGCAGATGACAGTTTTAAAACAGAAGCAGGAAGAAAATAAGAGGATGTGCCCCAATGCAAAGAGGTTAGATCATAGCAGCTTATCATCGATTGCTCTGTGAGACTTTGAGTCATCCTTTTCTTACTTTTTACATTTTATGATTTGAAAATTAACTAATAACGATTTTATTTTGTGATCCGGCTTCAGGGAGAGACGTTTTTCTCTGAGAAGTCCTGAATCCAACATGAAGCTGCTGTTGTCGCGTTAATGATGTTTATGGCTTTGATTTTCCTGCCAAACATCAACACTACATCTTTGTGGTGCAACAGACTTGAAAGTGGTTCCTGCAGTTTTTCCACTATATGCCTTAATGAGACTCTTAAATCCTTACATCCACTCATCCCTATTCATACATAACCTGAGTCAGTTCATGTGCCCGCTGAAATTCTGTTGTGCTGAAATAAATGCGTTATTCTCCTCCACGGGATTTCAGAATGAAGTGGTTTTATTTTCAGCACAAATAAGTTATTTAAAGCTGTCTACACGTCTTACTGGACATCTGATCATTTAAAGAGTCGTGGTATGGACAATGGATAATTTTGACCTTCCTCCCTTCTTTCTCTCTAATTACTTGCTTCTCGTTTCTGTAGTTTGATGCCACGCTGGATGTCATGTCATCAGCCATCGTCCTGTGGCGCTACAGCAATGCAGCAGCTGTGCACTCTGCACACAGAGAGTATATGTGAGTACAAAACTTTATCTTTTGATCAACGATACAAGGGTGGAATCATAAACAACTCTCAAACCACAGGTGTTGTATGTTTTATTTATTTGTTCATTCATCTTTACTCTTTGGCTTCTTTTACCCATGAATCCCACCTCTGCTGTGAAAGGACTTCACCCATTCCCCTGCAATCCAGTCATTTCATGCATATGATTTTATCTTTCTGTAGTAAATTAAATTTAAAAAATGATGGGATCCTATGTACTATATAAATAAAAATAGAGTGCAGTGATTTCATATTCTATTTACAATAAAACATAGAAAACATATCAAATGTTTAAAGTGAGAAATTTTACTATTTCATAAAAAATATGTTTATTAGCTCATTTTGAATTTGATGCCAGCAACTCAAACAAAGTTGGGACTGGGGAAGAAAAGGCAGGAAAAGTAAGTTGTGCTATAAAGAAACAGATGGACGAACTAATGAGGTTAATTGGCAGCCGGTCAGTAACATGATATAAAAAGAACGTCTTAGAGAGGCAGAGGTTATGAGAGGTAAAGATGGGCAGAGGTTCATTAAACTGCAAATAAACTACATGTACAAATAGTGGAACAATAATGTTCCTCAATAGAAAATTATGAAGAGTATAAATATCATCTGCAGTACATAATCATCACAAGATTCTGAATATTAGAATAAATATCTGTGTGAATGGGACAAGGCTGAAAATCAATATTTTCTCTGATCTTTGGGCCCTTGGCCAGCACTGCAATAACATCAGGCGTTGTTCTTCAATGGAAACCGCATGGACTCAGGAGCACACTGTGCCATCCACAAATGCAGGTTAAAGCTCCAACATGGAGAGAAGGAGCCACACATGAACAGGATTTGGAAAGGCAGCTGTCTTCTCTGGACCAAAGTTCGTTTAAAGTGAACTCAATCAAAATGGAAAAGTGTTCTGAGGTCCAAACAAATCCAAAGTGGAAATTATTTTTGGAAAGCGTGCATGAACATCTGGAAAGGCAGATGTGCATTTTGCACATCTGCAGGACACCGGCCCTTGAGCCCTGGAGTTCCCCCAGCCCTGTTTTAGAGGAACATGTCCTCCCATGAAGATGACATTTTTTCAGATGAGACCATATTTCAGCAAGACAATACTAAACTGTTCAGGTGTCCGGGTCCTGAACCGGCCTGCCTGCAGTCTGGACCTGGACCAGCTGAGAACATCTGGAGCATCATGACACAGAAAAATATGACAAAGAAGACTCAGGACTGCTGAGCAGCTTGAATCTCAGTTCGCAGACGTTTACACAGTTCTTCAAAGAAGAAGGGACGCTTGTTGCTCCATCAAGTTCAAAATGAGTGTCTTATTTGATATGTTTTCTATGTTTTATTTGGGTTTATGAGATTTGCAAATTGTTGCAGTCTGTTTTTGATTTTATGTGGATTTTTTTAATGTTTTTTTATACTTGACAATTTTAAAATTCCAGTAGAGAGAATATTGCCACGATAGCTTTAATTTAATCTTCCCTTTGAAGGTCTAAATAATTTTCCCCGTGAGGCTCTTGCTATGTTCAGTATACCCAGATAGATTAAACAATTTCAGAAAAGGTGCTTCTTAAATTGCAGGCTGGAGAGAAGTGTATCCTTATTGATGGGCCATTAACTGTGTGTCGTTACTGTAAATGTGTCACTGCTACATGTGCGTTAATCCACCAGGTTTTAGGGCTGCTGTGGCTTAGCTGAATGAATCAATTAGCTGTCAGGCTGTATGGAGCCCTGTTTGTCTTGCAAGAACACCTCTGTGTAGCTCAGAGGTGTTACAGATAATGAAAGACCGAGCTGCCTCTCCACTGTCCATTAACTCACACGGAGTCACTCACATGCACACGGGATCTTTTTCTCTGTTAGTGCTGTCAGCTGGATGCAGAGACACACACAAACCACAAAACACCCAATTTGTATTATATTAATGTTCTTTCTGTAGAAAATTAAAGTGTACTGTTAGAAAAGTAGAAAAAAGTGTGAGCATATCATTGCAAATGAGGCAAGATGTTTTACTTCCTGGAGATTGGTTCATGTAAAAGATGCAAGGATAGGCTTACTACTAGTGATAGTGCCACTGAGGTCATCATTCTAATCCCAGCTTCTAGACAGGTTTAGTGGCCTCAGGATCACCTCTCAGATTTTTGTGGTTCTTCATCAGGCACCTCCCAAAATGATTCAACATAGGGACAACTTGCTGCCCTGGGTTTCTCAGGGTCAGTGGCGGTCCTAGCCTGTTTGGCGCCCTGGGCACTCCCTCTGGCACCCCTGCAATAGTTACACCCTTTTTACACACGCTCTTTTCTACTCTGTAATATTCTTGTCAATTTTCTTGATATTTATTTATAACCCCCTCTGTTAATCCTTGATATTTATAATTGACTGATCTGATTAGTGCTATTTCTTAAATGTGTAAAATCTGTAACATAATGTACTGTTTGGAGTTTAGTTTGTTACTGTTACTATTTTTACCATTTCTTCTTGGAGCAACTCTAACCCACATAATTTCCTTAGGGATTAATAAAGTATTCTGATTCTGATTGTTTCAGGATGACCTGCCATTATCCAATCACACATCTGCTTACCTGTATCTTTTGCTCGTTTCTCCTCCTCTTCTTTTCTAGTTTTTCTAAACTGAGCACCAGATGGCTTTGAACTTTTCTTGTCCATCTTCCACTGGTTTTAATTTTGCACTCCAGTATGAACATAAGTCCCCCAACCCGAGGATCACCACAACATAACCTAACAGACCTACACCTTAGTTCACAGATTCACTTTGTCTAAGGTTTATTTCTGGGATTTCGCACAACCCAGGATTCAAATCATGAATACATAATGGGCTTAGATTTACAACATTATGAATGAAATGTGCT